CCATTTTGGTAGGTAAAAATGTCGATCTCTCTTCCTTTACTTTTGACGCCCCTACATTTAGGATAGAAGAATTCATCATAAACATGGGCTGGGCATCTGTTTGCACCATAGAAGAAAACACTTATCCACGGTTGATGCGTGAATTTTATCAAAACATGACTTTTTCCTCACGTAGTGCCGACATCACTTGCTTTATCAAAAATGTTCGAATCACTGTTTCAAAACCTCTTATTCGCAGCCTTCTTGAACTTGAACCGTGTTCTATCCAAACTTTTGTACACAAGGCACATCCTCACGTAGATGATTACAATCCCCTTGATGCATGTCGTCAAGTGACTGGTAAAAACATTGAAAACATCACAAAAATCTCTACAAACCAACTCACTCTTCCTTGTAAAGTTCTTCAAAACATTATCGCAAACGTCATCCTACCTCGGAAGGGGTATCGGGACGAGGTGAAAAACTTTGACCTTTTTCTTCTCGACTCTTTCTTTGTCGGTCGGAAAGTTGATTTTCCAACCATCGCATTAGGTCTCATGCAGCTCATTCACTCCTCACGCGTCGCTAAGGCGCTTCCATATGACATGCTCTTAATAAAAAATTTTAAACATTGTGAAATCCCTCTTCACGATGAAGCATTCATCAAACCCCGTTCTTCCGACACCATTTGTTCCTCTACACTCAAACGCATGAAAATAGTTAAGAAAAATGGAAAATGGGTGTTTGAAACAAAGAGGTTCGACCCGACATCGGGGTCTTCTACTCTACCATTCGATGAGGAAGACATTGAGGACGACGACCGTATGGATGCACCTCCTCCCGACACCTCGAGACCTGGAGCCTCCCGAGCAGGGCATGACGCCGATCAGCTTTCCCTGCTTCACGAGCGGATGGACTCTCTTGCTACGATTGTCGAAGGGATCACAGAAGAGCTTCACCACGTGAGGGCACATCAGGACATGATCATTGCTGGGCAGGCCGCTATGCAAGACCAGATGACTGGATTCTTTGCCGATGTGCTTACCCGACTTCCACCTCCTCCTCCGGCTCCATAGATTTCCTGTTTTATGTAGTTAAATTGCTTTTAAACCTATGGTTGAACTTTTGATTATGTACTACACCTTTATTATGTCTATGAAATGATTTTCTGTTTTGGTTGCTATTCTTGCTTCTCAATACTTGCGAACTTTTTGCTTATGCCAAAAGGGGGAAGAAATGGATAAGATTTGATTTGCATGATTATATCTAAACAGGGGAAATTGCAGTGAAATTATTAGAGGGAATACTTGTATCTATTTCTTATCAATTTGTTCATACACATATCTTGCAAATCATATTGTGTTTGTCATAATCAAAAATGGGGAAATTGTTGACCTATGGTTGACGTCTTATTTTGATTATCACAAACAAATTGAATTTATTTCTAACAAATTGATTCCGAATGTGTGTAGTGATTATTACAAATCAATAAAATTAAAGACACGAGGTTCATGGTCAAGATATTTGCATGGAACGATTGACATG